CTCAGTTTTTCATGCTGGCTTACTGGGATGGACATGACAACTTTGTACTGATTGGTGATGCTGGAAAGACTTGCTCAACTGTCACCACCTCAAAGGTGATGTAGCACAAAGTAGCACAATTTACATGCTTAATAAAGGAGCCTTTTTGCAGTTTTCAAAGGATTGATGGTATTATAATTTCAGTTAGGGCATAAATGTGTGGTAGAAGTGAGATGCTGTTCCTCAGTCACAAATGGCAAGAGAAGCCACACGTGGTGTGTGGGCCTGAAACCTGTGCCGAGATCGGTGTCAGACACCCTGCACCTGCCCCAGTCCCCTCAAACCCAAACTCTGTGCTTCCTAGCAGAAATCAGGGCTTCCTGCTGCTCTCAGAACACTGTAACTACAGTAAAATAATACATGGTCTGCTTGGTTGGAATTAACAGCCTGCTGGTTTAGTAAAGAAAAACTCCTCAACACACAGGACAGGATATGAAACATGCTTGGATAAGTCTCCTAAGGTGTTCTTTCAGACCTGGAAACATGAGTAAATTCATTCCAGATTTGATTTTATAAATTAGTACAAATGTTAGTGTGCATCACTCGCTAAAGTTAACTCAGGGCACCTGCAGGGAGGCCAGAAGATTCTGAAAAGGATTAATTTAAACCCATAACTCCTTAGTATTTAATACTTACAGGTCAGTCTTTCTCCTTTCCAAGTTCTCTGCTTATCAGGTATCACAGTCCACTGGGTTTTGTTCTTTGAGATTTGCTTTTCAGGCCAAGACTTGATGAATGGCTTCATTAACCATTAATGCTATATGGCTGAGTAACACTGACCTCCTTGACAAAGGAAAACAGTCTTGTCTCCCTACCTACTTAAAGAGCATATATAAGCTACTATCAATAGAGATAAGTCACCTTTAGGAGCGTGCCAAGTTGGGTTCAGTCCAATATCTTTCCAATTAACTGCAGAAAGTTTGCAAAGAATTAAAAGTTGACTACATCTCACATCTATTGCAACGGCATTTGCCAGGTTTGGATGTTGGACAATACCCAATGCTTCTGAAGACATGTTAGTTGAGATGTTTTTACAAAAAAACCTTTTTTTTTCAGCGTGGAAAGGATTCATATCCCACCATGGACATCACTCCCTTCCATTCTGGAGACCACAGGCCTGTGCTGCTGCCTGGCAGTGCTGCACTGACTACATCTGACAGCTTTGCAGGTGCTCTGAACTAACCTGGCACGAGTGTTTTCAGGAGCTGCCTCACAGCCAGTGGGTGCTGGAACTGCCTCTCCTGCCCCAGCACCAGCACCAGCCTCAGAAAAAATAACCAGCCAGGGACAAAGGGAACAAGCAAAGTGCAAAGATTCAAGTGTTTTAACCTACCTTTTGGGAGATGCAACACTGCAAACAGGAAGGGTGCAATGGGTATGGAATGGACAGAAGGAGAATGTATGAGGAGAAAGACAAAAAAAGATAGAAAAGATCAGTGACTTCCTACATCCGTGGCAGAGTGAAGGAAAGGAGCCTGGAGAGAAACAAAGTAAGGTTTGAACTGAATTGCCAAGCACAAGAAAAAAACAAACAAACAAACAGACAAGTTGAAACAGTTCCTTGTTTTTTCTTCTTCCTTTTTTGCTATGTAGAAAATAAATCATCTCCTTGCATAGGCCAAACACACCCAGACAAGAGAAGTCCCCCAGCACCCACCTCTGCCCACACTGGGATCCAAACTGAGCCAAGCTGGCAGCAGCTCCGTGTGGGGGACAGGAGAAGTTCCAGTGTTTATAAAGGTGACCAAGAGAGGTCAGCAGTTCCACCCG